GTTCCGGGAAGCCACAATAAGGTCTCCTCGGAGCCTTCTTTTCTGCAGCCTGAACAGCCCCAACTCTCTCAGTCTGTCTGCACAGGAGAGGTCATTCTTTCCCATTGCTCTTTGGTAAGGGACCATCGCTCAGCCCAGGAATGATGCTCACCTCCTTCATGCTCTGTGCATGTAGGCTCTTTGTCACATTCTGGGGGCCTCCGGGTGAACATGAATTTTCACCAAGGGAAAAATAACTAGTGGGATCACAGGACATGGTTTGCAGCCACCCTGATAGGCTGGAGGCAAACACAGCAGTATTTGCACACAGCCAAAGGCTGCCCTCCTAGACTGAAACTTTTCCCTGACCACTTTTATTTAGCTACGCAAATGCCTTGTCCCCTCCCCACCACACGCAGCCCCCTGACCCTGCAAGGCAGCATCTTTCCCTGCCTTAGGAGAGGCTTTGGTCAGCCTGAAATTCTGAATAAAGAGCCCAGGGGCTGCTCAGGGATGAAATTCCCAGGAAACCCACAAGAGTTGCCGTGATTCTCCAGCGTTTCATCACAATTTAATTTACCTAAAACTCTCAGCAGCATGAACTGTATCCCAACTGCAAACGATTTGTCTTCAGGCTGGATGCTCCTGGAAAAAAAAAAACACAAGAAAACATAATGTTTGCCCTCTGGCATTTCCCTCCTTGGCATCTCACGAAGCCTTATGGCACCTCACCCAAAAATTCATGCTTCAACCCAGCCCCCAAGAACCCCAGCCAGTTCCCATTTACGTCAGCAGAAATGATGAAATTTCATTCATTGGGGCCAGAAGCTTACCACCACTCTTTCGTGGCCTGAAAAACTCATCAAACTCCATAAAGAGACAGGGAGGAGCTGGGCTAAGCATTTTTGCTTTTAATTTAAAGAATTCATGTGTGTAAAACACAGAGAAAAACCAATACAGCCACTGGCTCTGCCTAACACAAGCAGTAAAAACCATGCTTTTTGTAACCAAAAGAGAGAAGGAAGTGGCTTTTTTTGAGGTGGGATGCCCCAGGGTATATTTTGGTGACACCCCAGTTTTCTGAAATAAGTATTTCAGGCTGTGGTTCCTGCTTGGGCCACACATGGGAGAGGACAGGGTGGCAGAGGACACCCAGATCAGTGCACCTCTGGGAATTCAGCCTCCCTTTCCTCTCTGGTGTAGGCATAGCTCACGCATGGCATAAAATGTGATTTAATAATGCCTGGGACTCAAGGTAAGAACAGGTTTTAACCACAGCTTTTCCCTAAAAAGCGACTGTTTGGAGTGCTCCAACCACAGAAATATCATTTATAGACCAACACGGAGATGGTTTTCTGTGGTTTTCTCCTCTTCCCTAGCACAGCCCAAGCCCTGCCCATCCCAGGCTCCAGCCCCACCAGCCTACGGTTAACCCAGCACTGCCAGGGCCACCACTATAGTGTGTCCCTGAGCACCACATCTACACATCTGTTAAATACCTCCAGGGATGGGGACTCCACCACTTCCCTGGGCAGCCTGTTCCAATGCTTGATGACTCTTTCTGTGAAGATATTTTTCCTAACATCCAATCTAAACCTCCCCTGGTGCAACTTGAGGTGGTTTCCTCTTGCCTTGTCACTTGTTATTTGGGGAGAAGAGACTGAACCCAACTCACTACAACCTCCTTTCAGGTAGTTGTAGAGAGTGAGAAGGTCTCCCCTCAGCCTACTTTCCTCCAGGCTGAACAACCCCCACAGCCTGCTGCTCCCTATCCCATAGGCACCTTCCCATGGGTGTGGGAAACCGGATCCCTAATTGCTTCTCTGCGCTGGGAGGTTGTATTCAAGTGAGATTCGTCAGATGGAAGGAAGATAATTAAATTTCTTGACACAGAGCTGGATTAAAAATTGCCGAAGTAGTGCTGTGCTGAATTAATGCTGAGTTAATGGTGCATCTCGTTGCTGAGGTATCAGCCGTGGGTGGGGAGAAGGAACAGGATGGCTGCTGGAGCCAAAGGTTGTGCTGAGAGCAAGGATGGGGGGTACTGAGGGCAACGCGGGGCTCCTGTCAGTGGGTAGAAGTGCTGTGGGGGTTTGGTATGGTCTGACACCCTCCCACCCACCAGCTCCTTGCTTGAACCTGTTGGTGAACACCATGTTGCCTGCAAGAGCTGTTGGCCACACAGCACTGGTGGCTCCACAATAAAGCCTCCAGCAGCACGAAATTCCGACTTGGTGCTTAACCCTGCAGGGATCAGCAGCAACAGCTTCCCTTCTTAGGGAAGGGTCTTCAAGAGCAAGTCCTGAAGATCTCTCCTGCTTAAGCATTTTGAGACTGGAAATGTACAAAGTTTCTGTCCCGCCCAGCCATGCCAGGTCTTTGCTAGCAATACAGCTTCCGAGCCAGACATAGCCTAGGAGATGGACAACCACATGCACTGCCAGATGACAGGAGCTGGCAAGCCCTGTATGCCAATTTCTGCACCAAAACATGTAAAAAAATCATTAAAAAAAACGTAAAAAAACATGTAAAAGCAATGGGAGGAACCGGGCACAAGGTGCAAGACAGGGTTGATTTAATTCTCCAGTCCCTCAGCTGGAGAAACCCTTCCTCCTCCATCAAGGACCCCTTGCTTTTCCAAACTCCACGTCTGGATGCCTTTTCTGGCTGCACCTAGACCACGGGCAACCCAATCGGCTCACCTGAGGATGAGCATGAAGGACGGCGTGTGGGACACGCTGGCGAGGAACCCTGCCAGGCAGGACAGGACCACAAAGGGTAGGAAGAGGTGGGAGCAGCCGGTGCCACAGGTCCCAGGCTTGGCAGATCCCCAAACCCCATTTTCAGTGATGCAGCTGCAGTTGGTGTAGTTCTGCAAAGAGGAGAGAAAACCCAGAGGCTGCTCATCTGCTCAAGGCTATGGAGATAGCAGGGATAGCTGCCAGCTGTCACTTGGAGGGAAGGTGTTTAGGTTTTGTTTGCAAATAATTAGCAGCAGTTAGCACTCAACACTTCAGGGAGCAGGGCAGGGAAAAAGAAACCAGCACATACAATGCAGCTGGGCAGGGATAACTGATCGAGGGGATGAGGAAACACACGTCGCCATCCCCACTTCCAGCCTCCAACATGCTGCCATCCCTGAGATGAGGTCCCAGTCCAACCAGGTCCCATGGGCATCGCTAAGATGTCACGTGGGTGAGCACACACAGCTGAGCTCAGTTTCTGTGGTACCTTGGCTCATCTCCAGAGGCACCTTGGTTCATCTTCAGTGGTACCTTCGTTCATCTCTGCTTCCAGAAGCACCTAGAAGTGCTCCCAACCCAGACGCATCCTTGCTTTGTTGACGCAAGCCCCAGTAATGCCTCCTTACCTACCTGCAGCAATCCTTCTATGTTCATGTTTCCAGTCCCGTGTTTCACGCCCGTTGCGCGCTGAAGACGCTTACACACGGGTTTATTTCAATGTCACCCTTTGCCAAACAAATGCTTTGGGATTCTGCATAAATCTGGGCTTTTGGGATGGAAAGATCTCACTCACAGCTGATGAAACACTCAAGCCTGATGTAAGCTTACTCGCCTGTGTTATATTTTTTGGAGGGAGTCTCCAGGGGAGCAGCCTGGGCTCTATCACCCATACCTGGCTTGTCTACTGCTGTGGGACTCTTCATCCAGGGGCTACGTGCAGAGCAGAGCTGGGAATCAGAGCCAGGGGAGTATTAAATCACAAAACACTTGCTAAGGGAAAATGCAAAACCTCACCTTTGAGAGAGGGTCATAAATAACCGGCACAGTGTTCGCAAAGGAAATATGCCCCAGGGCCAGGGATATGGATTTTGTTCTTTTTCTCTAGCTTTTAGGCACAATTCTCTTTTTCTTAAACAAGAAGCCTCATTTATTGTGGAAGAGACCTTTAAAGAAAATGAGCACAATCTCATTGTTGCTGGAGGGGGACAGATTCACAGCGGGATGGCAGTTTGCAGAAGGGTTATCCCAGAGGCAGGAGCAGCCCAAGGACTCCCAAATCTCTGTTCCACATCACTGCCTGAGGAAATGGAGAAGCTGATGCCCATGAAAGAGACCCACAAGGTACTGCTCCTGGCTGAGAGCACTAGGGGAGTCTTGGGATGAAAGGGAAAACAATCCCACCTCTCGGAAAGAGGATTTAATATTTTAAATTAAGGCTGGGATTTATCTTCATAGAATCATAGAATCCTTTAGGTTGGAAAAGACCTTTAAGATCAAGTCCAGCTGTTAACCCAGCACTGCCAGGACCACCACTAAACCATGTCCCTGAGCACCACGTCTACACGTCTGTTAAATGCCTCAAGGGATGGGGACTCCACCACTGCCCTGGGCAGCCTGTTCCAATGTTTGACAACCCTTTCCATGAAGACGTTTTTCTTAATATTCAATCTAACCCTCCCCTGTCACAACTTGAGGCCATTTCCTCTTGTCCTATCACTCCTTACTTGAAAGAAGAGACCAACCCCACCACACTACAACCTTCGTTCAGGTACTTGTAGAGAGCAATAAGGTTTCCTCTTCTCTAGGCTGGACAATCTCAATTTCCTCAGCTGTTCCTCATTAGACTTGTGTTCCAGAACCTTCAGCAGCTTCGTTGCCCTTCTCTGGACACACTCCAGCACCTCAATGTCTTTCTTCTCGTGAGGGGCCCGAAACTGGTCACAGGATTTGAGGTGTGGCCTCACCAGTTCCAAGTACAGGGGGATGTAATGGCTTCCTCAGCCATCTGAAATGAACTAACTCAAACTCATCCTCTGGACTGCTGCAGTCATGGTGGAGAGGTAGGTCTCCAGCAGAAGCACCACAGATCATGGAATCACAGAATAGTTTGGACTGGAAGGGACCTTTCAAGGTCATCTAGTCGAGTCCCTTGCGGTGAGCAGGGACATCTTTAGCTGGATCAGGTTGCTCAGAGCCCCATCAAGCCTGACCTTGAATGTCTCCAGGAATGGGACTTCCACCATCTCTCTGGGCAACCTGCGCCAGTGTCTAACCGCCCTCAGTGCAAAACATTTCCTTCTTACATCTAGTCTGAATTTCCCCTCTTTTAGTTTTAAATCCTTTGTCCTGTTGCTATGGGCCCTGCTAAAAAGATTGTCCCCAAACCTCATTTTACCTTTCCTGCAGCAGATAATACCCAAAACCAGAGAGGGGCTGAGGTTGCTCTGTGGACATCTCAGCTCCTAGTCCAGTGAAGAAGCAATGAAGAAGCAGAACTCAGCATCTGTAGCCATAAACTCTCCTGCCCCAGGGACATGCAATGCACTCCAGCTACTACCTGGTGGTGCATGATTTGGCATTTATAACAACATACTGAGATACAGCCCCTGTGCAGAAAAAACTCTCACACAACTTAAACCGGGTCAAGATGCATCAATAGGTGGAAAGGAGATTCAACAAATTATCTCAGCACTAAAGAAATGATAATGCTGGCTTTACCGGGTGGCATCTCCCTAGCACCATCAAGGGAAAACTGATTTTGCTGTAGCGTGTGGCTACACATAATTATCCATGTAATGAATGCAGGAGTGGGTCACAGGATTTATCTTCAGGATGTCAAAGGGCTAGTGGCAACTCGGAGGAGTTCACAGAATCACAGAATCACAGAATGTCAGGGCTTGGAAGGGACCTCTGAAGACCATCTAGTCCAACCTCCCTGCCAGAGGTGGATCACCCCGAGTAGATCCCACAGGAACACATTCACGTGGGTTTTGAAAGTCTCCAGAGATGGAGACTCCACAATCTCTCTGGGCAGCCTGTGCCAGGACTCTGTCACCCTCCCAGTACAAAAGTATTTCCTTAGGTTGAGGTTGAACCTCCTGTTTTCCAGTTCGTAACCATTGCCCCTTGTCCTGTCACTGGACACCTCTGAGAAGAGTCTGGCCCCATCCTCCTGACAACGCCCTTTAGATGTTTATAAGAATTTATGAGATCCACCCTCAGCCTCCTCTTCCCCAAGCTAAACAGAAGCAGTTGTAAAGGATCTGCTGTGCAAAAGGCAGGCGCAGGGCTGCAGAAAAGCACATTTGGGACTATGCTCTGGCAGAAAACGTAATTGTTATTAAAATAAAGTGTTGTTAATTAACAAAATGCTGCTAAAAAGTGCCCAGGCAGTCCCATGCTGCCATTATATCCTGTGCTAAGAACACAGCGGAAAACTGCTCACCCTCTACGGATTGCTAACATTTTTCAGATACGTATTTCCATTGGCAAAGATCTCCTGACTCTTTGTTTGTTGAACTGTCTTGCCTGGAGACCCAGTAGACAATTGGCGCTGGGAAAACTCAGCCCAACTGGGGTTTTGGTGACAGGCAGGGAGCAGCAGAAAAAAACAGAAGCACAGGGTAGCAGAATAACTAATAATTAGTGGTCACGGTAGTGTTGGGTTGACGGTTGGACTAGATGATCTTAGAGGTCTTTTCCAACCTTAATGATTCTGTAACTCTACAATTCTATGATAACCCAGCCAGGTCTGCAAATCCAGACCAAAAAACCAAAAGATTAATTCTAGGCTTTCAGTAGTGTTTTAGGTCAAACCCAAGCAAAAACTGTTGAGTAAACAGTCTGGGTGATACCTTTTGCAAGACATCAACGTATGTGAAAATGTGTACCACCTGCATTGACATCTTGCCTTGCCAGCCCTGGAACAATGGCAACACTCAGACTCTATCCAATTTTAGAGATCTTCAGGCATGCAATGCCTAAATTGGGAGCTTGATTACTGCTGGTCTCTCTTCAAGGAACACAGATGGGGCAATTTACAGCAGGAGCCTCGAGATGGAGAAAGCATCTCTTGAGTCCAAGAGGCATCCATGGACTCAGGGTCACGCTAGGGGCTGTGATTAGTCCTCCTGTCCCATCATAGGAAATACAGTTAAGAAAGGTGACCTAGTAGTCGTCATTAAGGAGTGAAGGAAGAGCAGATCCTTGCATCATCCACCCAAGCTGCTGTGTAGGATGTGAGATACTAAAGCCACGTTTGGTGGAGCAAAACTTGACCTGAGGTGGAGCAATGGATGGGGAAAGAAATCTTGACATCCTAAAAGGGTGGATACCTAAAAGGTTTCTTCTTGATGCCTTGGCCGAGGATGTGTACTGGCAAGGGCTGCGTTATACTGGAGAGTCCGAAGAGGCACCATCTACAGGGGGTTTTCCTGGCACGTTCTCAACCTTCCCCTGCTCATCCCACAGGGTTGTGCGGAGCTTGTTCATCACTAACAAACCTCAGGAAACTCACTGGCCAGACTTGAGCGCTGCACCCCTCAATAGGCAGCCCAAGCAAGGACACTAGCGCAGTGGGGATGACTCACCAGGACTGAGTTGTTGTCTGCACCGATATTTACGGCTCTGCAGCCGGCGGAACAGGGTGAGATGTATTCGATAGAGTTAGAGCCGCAGATGGGGTTGTAGGCTTTCTCAGGGCAGTTGCACTGGAGGTTACACTCCAAGGTGTGGTGTCCCAATTCAGAGCTACAGCAGGAAGAAAATATCAACGCATGGGATTGAGCATCTTATATTGAAAATGCACTGAATATCTATAAAGATTAGCAAAAGAACATTCGATTACTTAAGAAAACCTTCCCAGTATGTAAATGAGGGTGCACAGAAATTCCACTATGGCATCCCCAAGTCTTTGCTCTGCCTGGGCAAAGCCTCCTGACTCAAGGGAGTCACCCACTTCCTTCCTTCCTTCATATTTGGCCCAAACATAGGGTTGTGGGGTGGTGCAACATCACACAGTGGGAGGTGGTGAGCTTCCCACCAAGGGCATGAAGCAGCTTCCATCAAGACCACAGGGTGCTGAACATGTGAATTTAGAGCAGCTTGGACCAAGCCTTGAGGGAAGACAAGGTCCTGCCTGTGTTTGGCTGCGTAGGGAAGCAGCCACGGCTTTGAAAGCATGATCCCAGGGCTGGCCCCTGCCCAATTCATTGGCCTGTGAGTAACGTGCCAGAGTTTCCAAGATGAAAATGTAATCTTGTGCTGTTTGTACCAAAACTGCATTCACTGTGAGTTTCATCACCGGTCAATGGAGTTAGAAGGAGTAAGGACGCAGCAGATTCAGTGTTTATTCACAAAAGCACTAACTTCTAGCCTTATTTTACCACCATTAACTGTTTCTCAAGAAAGTACAAACCCATTTCTGGGTTTTCTGCTTTACTTCCACACCAAGGAGTGCAGCTGGGGATTGGGAGGGGGTACCCACAGCCCTGGGAATATCCCACCCGTGCCCAGCTCAGCTGGAGCTGTCGGTACCTCTCGCTGTAGGTAACGCCCGCAACCTTCTGCGTGGGGCAGCCGAGGAAGAGGAGGGGAAAAGCCATGAGCAGGCAGAGGAACATGCCGAGGACGCACATGACGCTGCATTGCTTCAGGGACATCTGGAACCGCTTCAGGATGGCACCACCTACCACGATCCCAACCATCGCCCCGGGGATGTTCACAGCACCTGGGGAAAGGCAAGTCCATGTTTTCCATCCTCCAAGTCCCTTCATTATAGCGAAAGCCTGGAGGATTTCTTGTTGGATTCCTGTTTTTCAGCATCGGTGATCTGTAAGGGACCAAGGTTTTTGCAGGGACTGGTGGAATAACCCTAAGAAAGAGCAGTTTAGCAAAAAACAGCAGGACCCTAGGGCAAACTGGCTGTCTTAGGTATCCATACACAGAAGGCATAGAGAACAGTGAAAAGCAATCCAGCAAATGTGATTTTTCGGTGTAGGCAGGAGAAAACACCAGTGAAACTTGGAGAGGATATTTAATTTCTGCAGTAATGTGCCTCAAGGTTTCCATGGCAGATGCGGAGTTTTGCCAGATCCACCTTTCAATGGGATAGCAAAGAAGTGCAATCTGTTTAATTCAGCAGGGAGGTTGCTTTCAGCCCATAAATATCCACACACACACGAGGAAAGGCTTTCCAATTACAGCATGCTTTCTGATCGTACAGAAAAAGGCAAAGCAAGATTCAGTAGCTGGGAACAAAAGCTAGATAAATTCGAACAAGAAATACGGTGCACGTCTCCAGCAGAGCGGGTAAATCAAGCCTGGGAATGACTGAGCAGGTCACGTCAGTGGAGGACACCATTGCTTCAGCATTTAACCTTTCTGCTTAGGCTTATCCTGGGCTTTACCAGCCTGTTCTGCTCACTTCCTTCTGATCTGATCGTACAGAAAAAGGCAAAGCAAGATTCAGTAGCTGGGAACAAAAGCTAGATAAATTCGAACAAGAAATACGGTGCACGTCTCCAGCAGAGCGGGTAAATCAAGCCTGGGAATGACTGAGCAGGTCACGTCAGTGGAGGACACCATTGCTTCAGCATTTAACCTTTCTGCTTAGGCTTAGCCTGGGCTTTACCAGCTCACTTCCTTCTGATTTATTTGTTGCAGACTTCAGAAGGCTCTCTGGGGAATGCATGCTGTTCGTTCAAAAATACATTAGAAATACTTTTGCGTCTAGATTTCTGAACTCTCCTACTGATTATAAGCACAAGGCTTTATTCTTCGTATTTTTATTACCACGACAAAATCACAAAGGGAAACCTCAGCCCCGGACAGGACATTCTGGATATTGAAACACAAGCAAAAGAAGTCTAATCTCACGAGCACACATCCTGCTTAACACATCCTCCTTTCTGTCTTAACAATACCAACACAGCAAGCAATTGGCTCAACCATTACAAGCAATTAGTCTAACTATAGCAACATGTTGAAGAGATTAAGCTTGATTATGACGCTAGCCTGAGTGGCCTCTTGCTGCAAAGTTGTTTTCAAAATGCATGCTTGCATTACTGCAGTTTTTAATTTTATTTACTCTCTATATGTGTAAAGTAAATAAAGCAAAAAAAGTATACATATATATAGTATATATAAGTATATATAGTATAAGTATATAAGTATATACGTATATAGTATATATAAGTATATATATAAGTATATAGTATATATAAATATAT